AAACCGGGCTTTTTCGCCCCAAAAAACGGCTTTTTCGCCCCAAAAAACCGGCTTTTTCAGCCCCAAAACTGTTTTTTTCACCCCAAAAAATGGCTTTTTCACCCCAAAAACCCAGCTTTTTCACCCCGAAAAACGGCTTTTTTGCCCCAAACCCAAGCTTTTTCGCCCCCAAAAAACGGCTTTTTCGCCCCCAAAAAAATGCTTTTTTTCCCCCCCGGCTTCTTCGCCCCCAAAAAACTCGGCTTTTTCAGCCCCAAAACCGGCTTTTTCACCCCAAAAACCCGGCTTTTTCACCCCGAAAAACGGCTTTTTTGCCCCAAAAACCGGCTTTTTCGCCCCCAAAAACCCGGCTTTTTCGCCCCCAAAAACCCGGCTTTTTCCCCCCCAAAACCAGCTTTTTCAGCCCAAAAAACCAGCTTTTTCGCCCCAAAAACTGGCTTTTTCAGCCCCAAAATCGGCTTTTTCGCCCCAAAATCCAGATTCTTCTCCCGAAAACTCAGCTCCTCAACCCCAGAAATCAAGTTCTTCACCCAAACATCAGCTCCTCCACCCCAAAAACCGGCTTTTTAAGCCCCCAAAAACCAGCTTTTTCACCCCAAAACCCAGGTTATTCACCCCAAAACCCAGGTTATTCAGCCCCAAAACCCAGGTTATTCAGCCCCAAAACTGGCTCCTTCGCCCCAAAACCAAGCTTTTTCACCCAAAAACCCGGCTTTTTCAGCCCCCAAAACCAAGCTTTTTTACCCAAAACCAAGCTTTTTCAGCCCAAAAACCAGTTCTTTCAGCCCCAGAAACCAGATTTTTCAGCCCAAAAGCCAGCTCCTCCACCTGAAAACCAGCTCCTTCGCCCCAAAACCAAGCTTTTTCAGCCCAAAACCCGGCTTTTTCACCCCAAAAATCCGCTTTTTCAGCCCCCAAACCTGGCTTTTTCACCCCCAAACCCCAGATTTTTCAGCCCCAAAACCGGCTTCTTCACCCTAAAACTCAGCTCCTCGATCCCAAAAATCAAGTTCTTCACCCAAACATCAGCTCCTGACCCCAAACATCAGCTCCTCCACCCCAGAAATCAGCTTTTTCAGCCCAAAAATCAGCTTTTTCAGCCCAAAACCCAGCTTTTTCAGCCCCCAAACCCGGCTTCTTCACCCTAAAACTCAGCTCCTCGATCCCAAAAATCAAGTTCTTCACCCAAACATCAGCTCCTGACCCCAAACATCAGCTCCTCCACCCCAGAAATCAGCTTTTTCAGCCCAAAACCCAGCTTTTTCAGCCCCCAAACCCGGCTTCTTCACCCTAAAACTCAGCTCCTCGATCCCAAAAATCAAGTTCTTCACCCAAACATCAGCTCCTGACCCCAAACATCAGCTCCTCCACCCCAAACACCAGCTTTTTCAGCCCAAAAATCAGCTTTTTCACCCCAAAAACCAGCTCCTCAGCCCAAAAACCTGGCTTTTTCAGCCCCAAAACCCGGCTTTTTCAGCCAAAAACCAGCTTTTCCACCCCAAAAAACCAGCTTTTTCACCAAAAAAACCAGCTCCTCTGCCCCAACAATCAGCCTCTGACCACAAAAATCAGCTCCTCGACCCCAAAAATCAACTTCTTCACCCAAAAATCAGCTCCTCTGCCCCAAACATCAGCTTCCGACTCCAAAAATCAGTTCCTCCGCCCCAAAAACCAGCTTATTGACCCCAAAAACCAACTTCTTGACCCCAAAACTCAGCTCCTGACCCCACAAATCACCTCCTGACCCCAAAACTCAGCTTCTTCACCCCCAGAATCACCTCCTGACCCCAAACATGAGCTTCCGACTCCAAAAATCGGTTCCTCCACCCCAAAAATCAACTTCTTGACTCAAAAATCAGCTCCTTGACCCCAAAAATCAACTTCTTTGCCACCAAAATCACCTTCTTAACCCCAAAAATCAACTTCTGGACCCCAAAAACCACCTCCTCCACCCCAACCATCACCTTCTCAGCCCCAAAAATCAGCTCCTCCACCCCAAAAATCACCTTCTGACCCCAACAAACAGCTCGACACCAAAAATCACCTTCTTCACCCCCAAAATCAGCTTCTAGACCCCAAAAACCACCTCCTCCACCCCAAAATCCAGCTCCTCCACACCAAAAACCACCTCTTTGACCCCAAAAATCACCTTATTCACCCCAACCATCACCTTCTGAGCCCCAAAAATCAGCTCCTCCACCCCAAAAAGCAACTTCTTGACCCCAAAAATCAGCTCCTCCACTCCAAAAATCACCTTCTGACCGCAAATTCTAGCTCCTCTGCCCCAAAATCCAGCTCCTCCACCACAAAAATCAACTTCTTGACCCCAAAAAGCAGTTCCTCCACCCCAAAAAGCAACTTCTGACCCCAAAAACCAGCTCCTCTGCCCCAAACATCAGCTTCTCCATCCCAAAACTCAGCTTCTGACTCCAAAAAGCAGCTCCTCCGTCGAAAAATCATCTCCTTGACCCCAAAAACCAGCTCCTCACCTCTGTCTCCAAAAATCACCTCCTTGACCCCAAAAACCAGCTTCTTCACCCCAAAAATTGGCTCCTCTGCCCTAAAAATCACCTCCTCTGCCCCAAAAATCAGCTTCCTCACCCCAAAATTCAGCTCCTGACCCCAACACTCGGCTCCTCCACCCCAAAAATCAGCCTCCTTGACCCCAAAAACCAGCTTCTTCAGCCCCAAAGTCAGCTTCTGATGCCAAAAATCACCTCCTCCATCCCCAAACCCAGCTCCTCCACCCCATCGTTGTATCGCAAAGGCCTTTCCTTCCAAAATTTGCCCTTTTTCTACTGGAAAATAAGACATTTTGGTGCAAGGTGTCCACACTCTCCCCATGAAGCTGCTGTGAAGTCGCCTCTCGACGCTTTCCAGCGCTAAAACCCGGTGACTCTGCTGCTCCAAAGCCTCACACCCACCTGCCTGCAGTAACCCAGAGCATCAACGCTTGCTTCTCCAGAACCCTTCACAGAATCGAGGTCAGGAGTTGGAAGGGCCCTGGAAAGCTCC